TCAGGCACTTATTGGATCGACCCAAACCTGGGCTGCTCCTCAGACTCTATAGAAGTGACGTGCAATTTCACCGGCGGCGGACGCACCTGCCTCAGGCCTATCACAACAGCCAAGGTTCAGCTTTCAGATCATCTGCGTTATTCTGTATTTGATAAATGCATATCCTCGTGGCTTGAGGTGATATGTTTAGAAAAGAAGTTCCTAATCTGTTTATAATCGTGCTACTTCATTGGCTGGTTGCAGCTGGAGTTCAGTGTCGGACGCGTTCAGATGAACTTCCTGCAGCTGCTGAGCGCCGGAGCGGAGCAACAAATCACTATCCACTGCTTGAACGTGACAATCTGGAGCCACGCCCCCTCTGAGCCTCCGTCCCAGAATGCAGTTCGGTTCCAGGCGTGGACCGGAGAGACGCTGGAGCCGGATGTGTTAGGAGACAACTGCTGGGTGAGTATTACTTTCAAAAATCTCTCTCTAACTAACCAGACTTCAAAACACCCACAGCACCCTTTGCAACATGTGCAAGAAAAAATCTTGTCTCCAAAACATAACTTTTTCTGTCAAGGTGCATGTTAAATTGAGTCTGAGTAGCATATCAGAGTTTTATTATTTATGTAAAATGCAGGATTTTGATATTCATGAATTATATATTTTTTATATTATGTATTTATTTCATTATTCTCCTTTTTTTAATAAAATATTATAAAATAGTATTATTATTTATAAAATATTATAATTATTATTATTTTTTTTTATAAATTGTTATTATTTTTTTATTGCCAAAGTATCGTAGAAAAGCATACTTAAAGAACAAATGCAAATGTACAGACTTGAACATATGGAACAAGGAATGAAAATCACAAATATAACAATAATAATTATATTTAAAAAATATAGACTGTTATGTTATAAATAATCATGAATAATCTGATCTTTTGATCTGCATCCAACAAGATCAAAAAAAAAAAAGACATTATACGAAGTTACTTTTATTTGCCTGATTATCCAAATATAAATAAATTATACATTTAAATATATGTGTATGAATGTAAATCAATTTTAGTAATGCATTTTTAAAAACATGATTATTAGGTGCTTTCAGTAATTCTTTCCTCCATAAGAATGGCATTGTTAGCAGGAAACCTCTGCTTTTGAAAACAAAAAAAAGTTTTGTTGCACACAGTGTGACTTGCAGGTCATTTTTAGGGTTCTTGATAAAAAAAATACATCTCAGCTAAATATATTGCTTGCATAATTTATTTTACCCAAAATAATTTAAAAAGGCTGTACTGGTTTAGTGCAGTATTATTATAGTATTACTTATATAATATTATGGTATTTCATCATATTTTGAATGAGCTTTTATTTTTATATTTTCTGTTTTCATTTTTAAAAGTTTTAGTAATTTTGTTATTGGATTTTGTTATATTTATTCTTTTTACATTTCTGTTTCACTTTAATTCATTTTTATTGTTATTTCGGTTTTAGTAATTTTAATACTTCAACATAAACATTAATTTCTGTTTGTTGCCAAGGCAACATTTAAAATTTTTCATGTAATATTTATATTTTATTTGATTTCAGCCTTATTTCCATTAACAAGAACCATTTTTAATAGTTTTGGTTGTAGTTAACAATAACAACACTGGTTTAGTCATAAATTATTTCTGAAATGTATTTATGCATGACATCACTGATCATGTGCTTTGTATTACACAGCAACTAAACGGGCGCTGGCAACATGCTGACTTCCTGTTCCGGGTGTCGGACCCCACCTTACTTCCTGTCGTACGCATAAGCAACCTACCAAAGACAACGGCCTCATCGCGCTTTCACGTAGAAGTCGGACCTGTGTGCTTCCTTTAGTGTGTGTGTGAGATTGTGAGTGTGTGTGTGCACTCGTCAAACACACACCGGCCCCGCCCACAGCCTGCCCCCTTCAGCATTCAGCCACTGATTGGACTGCAGAAACAGAGAGAGGTGGTGTGGGCGGGGCTTTGGGGGATTTAGCACTAGAGACTCCTACAGTCTAAAGGAAATCCCGCCTTTACCAGCCACGGATGTCCAATCAGATTTGACTCCTCTAGAAAACAAGCCAATCATCTCGCAGGGAGGAACACTCAGGACATCCGGGCCGGAGAAACTGCCAAACCCTCTGTCTTTCCTCTTCTCTTTCTATCTCAGCCTGTTTTTTTGGTGCTTGCTTTCTTTCAAATTAATAATAATAATAATAATGTTATTATAATACTTGTACTTTTATAATAAGAATCAACAGTTTATTGAAGAGATGAATTAAGATCATTGGGAAGTATAATATGTACATATACACTTATTGTTTAACTGATCTTTTTTATGGTAATTTTGTCACATGTAAAAAACAGAAATGCTAAAGTGCAATAGGAAAATGAAGAAAAAAATTATTGATTATATTATTAAGTGTGTCTCATTAAGGAAGGTTATTCAGGGGTGTTGTCATTCGAACGTGTCATTTTAACACTCCATCAGACAGGGAAGTGTGTGTGTGTGTGTGTGTTTGTGTTTGTGTAAATGAGGTTTGGAAGTGACTGTGAATGTGTGTGTGTTTATGTGACAGATCAGTAAACAGGTGAAGGTGCACGATTCTATCAAATGTACAGACACACCTGTGAATATCAACATACATGACCCTTGTTTTTAAAACAGCCTGTCACTTTAAGGGGGCGTGTCTCAATCAAATGGGTGTGTCTTGTTCAAAGGGGCGAATCCCTCATGAAAACAGGTCTGGGCCATATTTCACCCAAAAAGAGAAGGAAAGCACATTTTGAAGATTTGAATGGTGACATTTTCCAGTCAGTCAGTCAGTCAGTCAGTCAGTCAGTCAGTCAGTCAGTCAGTCAGTCAGTCAGTCAGTCAGTCAGTCAGTCAGTCAGTCAATCAATCAATCAATCAAAACACAGCGCTGTTCCTTTAAAGCAGGGGTTTTCAACCTCAGATCCAGAGACTCTCTGCCAACTTCTGACACATTGTGACTATGTGACACATTGTGCTGATTTCCCCCCCCCCCCCCCCCCCCAAATGCATTTTGACATTTTTATAGTTACTTTTGTTTTGGATTTTTTTGCTATGAAGATTATTACAGGAATACAGAATTTTTTTCAATTGCTAAAAAACATTACAGCATAACAGTAATGAGTATTTCAGGCTAAAATGTGTTGGTCATGAAAATGTCACAATGCAACAAGGCAACTATGCAAAATGTACTTTTAATTTATTTTTCTTTTGTAATTGAACTTTTTTTTATTGAAGAGAAAAATAAAAAATAAAAATAACTTGAAATGACAAAGGCATTTCTTATGGAAGCTTGTTTCCGATAATAAAATAAAAATAATTGTGACTTTATCTTTTCTGTGACAAAAAAAACTGTCAGAATTGGCAGGATATTAACTTGAAATTCTGAGTTAAAAAGTCAAAATTATGAGATGCGAACACGAAATTGCGAGAAAGTTAGAATTCTGAGTTTGTATCCCGCAATTTTTGTCGCAGAATAAAAATAAAAAACGATATTGTAATTGCAACTTTTTATCTCAACATTCAGATACTTTTCTTGCAAACCTGAGGGGGGAAAAAAATCAGAATTGCAAGAAAAAGTAGCAATTTTTTCAAAAAAAATTTTTTATATCCATAGTTCTTACTCTCAAGCACACAATATCACTTTAGATTTTTGGGTCAAATATGACTTAGTCATGTTCTTGACAGGTTTTTTGTGAGATGCACCCGTTGCAGGTTTATCTCGGTAACAATGGTGCTAATTTGAAGCTAATGCTTTTGTTTAGTGCCCGTGTTATTCTGAATTATGTTAGTGTGAATTTTGTGTACTTTAAAGGTGCTCTCAGAAATCCAGGCCAGATCCAGATGTGCCGTTCAGTCTGAGCGTTTGCAGCACATCTGCGCAGACCTGCATGTTGAATGCACTCCGCGATAAGCTTGTGTGCTTTCCTCTGTGGTACAGAACAGTTTCGTACTTTCACCTCACAAGCACAAACATCAACTAATGCCTTTTGTAAGGGAGAACATTTCTGTAGCTAGAATTGTCTTCAGAAAGTGCGTCGTCATTCGCAAATAATGGTCGTAAACTCGATACATCTGATATATTGCGTTCCCTACAGCAAGCAAACAGCAGTGATGTTCTGTTCGAAGCTTGTTGTTCCTTTATTCTTCATGACCGTGTATATTTCTGCAGGCTTTGATGTATAGTCAGTGAGTCCCTTTTGCTAATTTAATGTTATTTAAATTTTACAAACGCGCTTTTAACCAAATTCTCTGTTGTGACAGAGTTTCTCTCCAGGTAACTTAATTATCCGTATGCCAACTGCTCTTACGGTTGATAGATTTATGTTATGTGTAAATTTGGGGGTCCAGAGAACAATATATTGCTTTTTTCGATCTGTTTTTATTTTTCTATCCTGTTTATTTTTGTCTATAGTATTAATAATGATAATAATCTAAAGCCGTACTGTACCAGGACTGTGTTCTATATTATTTCTAAAGTTCTAAAACATGTGAACGTTCACTGTCAGAAGGTTGGATTTCTGATTACCTCAATGCTCTGCCATTTCTGTTTGTGAAAATTCACCTCTCAAATTCAAGGCTCAGTAATCTCATCGCTTCATTGTATAGTCCTCCGTTTTGCTCAGTGTTGTTCTTCGCGTCAGTTTTCCGTACTTGGTTAAATATGTGGATTCTCAATTGGAATTAATGCTTACATAACCCAATAAAGATGTTCTTACACCAAAATCTGCATTTGGTGTGGTTTTGTTTCCCAGGATCACACCGAGGGGGGAAAAAAATTATAATTTCATGCCACATGTATTCATTTGTCCATTTATTAAAAACATGCAACATTACCAAAAAGGTTAAATACAAACCTTTATTTTGTATTTTAGACTTGATTTACAGTGATTGCTTGTTGAATTGTTTAATACTAATACTATAGAGACAGTCAGGCACTGACAAGATCTCTAAAACATACTTAAACCTCAACAAACCCAATGTGTTGCAACTGCAGCAATTTGAATTTAAAATGAGTTGCATTAAAAACATCTATGACCTTGTTCTACATCCAAATAGATGAGTGGTATTTAACCTGATGACGGTTTCACCCACTTTACTGGCACGTATTAAGTGCTTACAAATACAGTACTCTCTAAAAAAAAAAAAAGTCTGTAAAAATATAAGCTTATAAGCCCATTATATTTTCAAGTTTCTTGTTTTTATTATTTGAAGTACGATTTGGTAAGAATGTAGAATGTTCTAGGGTGAAAAAACAAACACACACACACTGGCCTCAAACTATCACCTGATAAACTACTCTGTATTATCCTTCTTTCTATTTTTCAATAACAAACTTCAAGATTGACAGACAGTGTTGATCCGTACCTGCTCTGAATGATGTCAAATGTATTTGAATAGACTCACTCACGCTGTAGTTCTGCATATGCACTTTATAAAAGAAAGTGTGCAAGAACTACAAAAGCTATGATGATAAATGGGGCGTGTCCTGAACTGGAGGGGGCGGGGCCATGGAGCTCTTGTCCACAGAGAGCGTGTTCCAACAGCAGGTGCGTCTCAGGTGTGATGCCTACAAGACACATTTCAATCAAGCAATTACTGCACAGCTGGCAATGTTATTAGGTAAAACTGGAAACCTGTTAAGTCATTGAATTAAAGGGGTCATATGATGCGATTTCAATTTTTCCTTTCTCTTTGGAGTGTTACAAGGTCTTGGTGCATAAAGAAGATCTGTAAAGTTGCAAAGACTAACGTCTCAAATCCAAAGAGATATTCTTTATAAAAGTTAAGAGTTAACCACTCCTACCTAAAACGGCTCGTTCTAACACGCCCCCACATGTCTACATCACTATGTGGGAAGATTTGCATAACGCCGCCCAAATGTTCACACAATGAAAGTGTGTACTTCTCGCTGTAGTATTGTTGCCGCTGCCGCCATGCCGTGAAGGCGCTGTGTGTTTCGTTGTGAACACAAAACTACTTTGTTTGGTCTTCCAAAAGAGGACAATATCCGCTTCGTCATGCCTGGAGCTGATCCGTGCTGGTCGCTGAGGGGATACATCAACTTCGCGCTGTGGATCGGCTTTCACCGTGGACGAAGCGGAGTCCAGTCCGGGGTCGTCACATGTGGTTGCCGCTCCTTCATCGAATCCGCCGGCTGCGCCGTTCTCAACCGCCGCCACCGTGTGTTTCATTGTGAAAGCGAAACTACTTTGTTTGGTCTTCCAAAAGAGAACACGACTAGAAATCAGTGGTTAAGTTGTATTTACAACACTGTTCCAGAACAGTTTAACCCAAATATTCAGATGTGTGCAGCACATTTTATGGAGGACTGTTTCCTGATCCTGGGAGAGTAGACTACAATGCCGGCTGTTCTGACTCACAGTCTGTAAGTACGTTTTCATTTAAAGGATTTGCCACTGACGATTCAAACGCGAGTTTTGGGCAGTGTAGAGTAGGGCTTGTTGTTTGACGTTTCTCCAATCACAAATGCAGACATGCTTTTATGTTTACACGGCACGATGCAACGCAACGCGTAAAAAGACAGTATAAGTCCTTATAATCCGTAATTATGTCCCCACTGGATGCAACAAATGCCTCGTTTGTAATGGGTTTTAATGTTTTTTCGCTCCGGCCGAACATGGCATCACAATATGGTAAGGGGTGTAACATTCCCGTCTCATGCTTGAGGTATTCGGCCAATCACAACGCACTGGATAGCTGGCCAATCAGAGCACACCTCGCTTTTCAGACCGATGAGCTTTGTAAAAATCTACGTGTTTCAGAAAGGCGGGGCATAGAGGAGAAACAATAATGTACAGTATGTGGAAAATAATGTGTTTTTTTAACCTTAAACCGCATAAACACATTTCATTACACCAAATACACCAAATAATGTTCTTTTTAGCAACATCATATGACCCCTTTAACACAAATTAACATTGCATAACATCTAATGTTTTATTATTTTATGCTCATAGGCATCACATTACTGAGGTGAACAGGGCCGTTTCATGTCGTCTTTAGATCTCTTTCACTGCAATTTTGAAACTCTGACATTGCAGGACATCCTAAATCTTCTCTGTCACAACTGTATCAACTTGATCGCAGATATTTATTATTACATCAAATATTACATAACTTAATGAATTACAATTGCTTTAAAATATAATCTGCAACAGCAGAAACAGCATC